TCCATCACCATTAGCGATGCCCACGTCCATGGCCATGCTGATGGCTGCGGTGGTGATGGTGATCATTCGATGGACGATTATGCTTCTTACTTTCATGTGAATCATGAAGTCGTTCAACCTCATTGGCAGCCACTGCTCCAAGTGCACCTGCACCCACTGTACGAACGATATGCCCAAAACCATGACTGACGTCCTCTCCCTCCTTCTCACGATGTCGATGCACTGTTTCTGCAATACCGACAGCGGCTACTGCTCCCTCTGCAAGATGGAGGCCATGGTGAGGATCGTGCTTGCTTCTGTGATCGCTCTTATCCCGGTGGTGTGCATGTTTATGATCTCCGTGGTGATGGCTATGTCCGCTATGATGGTGAGAGTGAGAATGGGGAATCAACTCTCCCGGTGGCAATTTGTAGTAATCCGAAGAGCGGAGGTCCTTCCGGTAATCGTTGTGCATTTTGAAGTAAATTTTCGACTTGTTTATTGAGGTATCTAATTCTTGAGGATTTCGGCACGAGAGAACAACAATGTATCATTGGAAGCGACGCCTTGCACTTACAGGAAGGAACCGGGAATTAAATAACCTATGAAAATAATCTTTGAGTCTCGAATTGCCGATTATTTGCTCTTCTATGATATCATCCCCCACTCATTAGGTTAGCTGACTTCATAGTCCCATCATACTGCGATCATATCCGAGACGAATGATGCAGTCGGTTGTATGTTGTCTTGCTAAAAAAAAACGAGCCGGATAATTTGCATTTTCTTTTTCCAGGATGCACAAGTTGCCAGGGATCTGCAATACGCATGCACGAATCCTGGCTTGACGTATGCACCTGACTCAATGGCATCAAGCATTTTAAGAGTGTTGTATTGCAAAGGAAGATTGATTGTTATTATTTCAGACGAAACACATGAAGCCATATATACAACGAGAAAAACAAGTTGATTGCAAATCAACTTGATGCTACATTTAGATATCTCGGGAATTAATTCCGATGGTGCGGCTCAATTCCTGATCTGCACCAGCCTCATATCACAACAAGACCAAAATAAATGTTTTGGTTGAAAGTACATAGATTAAGCAGGTGTGAAGGGGATGCAAGGGATGCAATAGTCGATGTGGGCTGGGTCTACTGAACAGGTATCAGAATTGCTTCATTAGCCACGATAAATGGCATCATATCATGCCATCCGCATACTTGATTGAATCCAGGTATCCTAAGCAAATAGCTAGAATGGGGCATCGGCGAAGGCTCCTCGGGTCTCTTGGCCATTGCTCAGAATATGAGCGAGACCTTTTTAGCACATGTGTTGTCAAATTAATTCACATACATATCACTTTTGATGGTTTTTAAGCGAGCAAGCTGAAGGGTCAGCTTTGGACCCTCACCTCCAAGTCCTTCAAGGGCCTTCAGTACGGGCGTGAATAGTTTAGATGTTGGAGAGCCCGAAGGATCGTCACTTGGCTAGAAAGATATAGTTGTTATGTAGCCTTCAGGCTTAAAATTCAATTTCTAGATCTCTTCAAGGATGCTCTTCTTGAGCATCATGGCATGATATTTTGACACGAAGAAAGATAATAAACCTTTTTAATCACATACGAATTCGGCAGAAGGTCTTTGGGATATATAGGAACGCCCACTGGTCTATATTTGAGCACTGTACTGACTCATTTAATCAACTTGGAACGTGGTGAACTTCATCGGTCGTTAATATGACATTCCCGTGTCGAGAATTGTATGACCTCACAATCTTGATGGTCAAGAGCAGTAATTTGCGCGTCGAGGATAAACTTACAATACGCGATATAGGTTTCTATCGTGCTTGTCGATGCCAAAAGAGCCACATTTGAGGCAAGGGAATGGGGTGCTGACGAGTTCTTTCCTTTCACCATCAGAGCAAATTTTTTCTCGCCTCCGGCGATGATTCCCTTGGGAGAGGAAACTATCTTGGTTCCAATTGGTACATACGTATTGTATAATTACAACTCATTGATAATTCAACTTTTACCATGTATAAAGAGACCACTACAACATGCCTGCAAAAAGAGTGACTGAGATATATATTTCCATACACAGCTCAAGTCATTACCGCTTAGAAGGTTTATGGCGATGACCGACATTCCAGTCCGAAACTTGCGGGTTATTGCAATGAAACTGCCCGCGTTGAGGTTAGCGGGGATTGGGAGTCTGAAAGCCCGCTTGGAGCTGACCCCAGTTTGTTGTGACGTCTGTGGATTCAACGCCTGAATCGACATCGTACAGTATACGGGCAACTAATAGATGGCGGAATAGAGGCTGGTGCTGGAAGAAGGCTCGTTCCGCGATCACCACGGAGAAGGTCAAAGCGGGTGCAATCAAACCATGTCCATTGTTGTCTGCTCCCTTCGGTCGCTCCCAATGTGCCCGAGGGAATTATTCTAGACCTTCCCTCCGGGGGGTGTGGCGTTTGGTTCGGGCGGGCCTTCGGTATACGGGGCCACCCTGCGGGTGTCGGCCCTCTCCGGCCCTAGGCAGGGGTTGAGCGTGAAAGCCGGCCCAAGAAACCCATCAATCATCACTCATTCTTTTGGAAATCCTGCGTGCCACGAGCAGAGCAGAATGACTGGCAAGAGGATGTGAATAAAATCAACCCTGAAAGCCTCATCTCGAGATAACAGACACTAGGATCATTTGATCCCGAGAAAAGCTTATCGGATGAAAGCCGTTGTCATCGAGGGGGAAATTCCCACCACAGCAGCTCTTACAGGTAGCTCCACTGTCCATGATGGAAAAAAAATCCCTTCACCGCCATGTTATCGACCTTGCTGACCTTGAAAACTATTTCCAGAAACTTTATTAAGACACTGACTTGGGCGGGGTTTGATGAGGTGAGACTTCTGTCAGTCGTAGCTGTGTGGCACATTTCCAGCAAGAAGAGAAGTTGCATTGAGGCTGACCCAAAAACCGAGCGAATATAATTCCTAGCCTCAAATCATGACGATACCCCATACTTTGATTCAATTGGCCGAGTGCAAGCTGTCCAAGCGTCATACAGCAGTGTCGCAATATCGAAAGCTAGGCTGCCATTGCCAACGATGAATATGCAAAGAAGCTACCTATATCCCGCGTCTAAGTACATCTTTTTACCGAAACAGGCGTCAGTCTGTTGTCAACTAAGTTCGAAAGGGGGTTCTGGTAAGTTCCCCCGTGCCGCCAGCGTTCAATTGATTGAAAACCTAGACAGAACGGGCAAATACCGTGGAGCATATGAAAGGAGACAAATTCAAGGAATAGTTCTGATATGATATATCGGGGGCATGTCAGGTGGTAAGCCCGATAGCGTACAGAATAAATTGTTGACTGTCTAAGACCCGTTGCTTGCGAACGCGTGCTGACGAGCAGCAGAAACGTCGCGTCGTATGTCTGTTACGCGTCACGTCGGCAACTTGCTACCCTTCATGTTACCCCACCATGTCACCCGCTACCGCTGCTATTTGCTGACAACACTAGCCTTGTCGGACACCGGTCAATGTGAGATGCGTTTCGGCCTGCCTGCTTTATTTACAGTACCCTTGCGCCCGGTCTATTGAGACTTCCGAGTTCACAATTACATCTTCGAGAGTCAACAGGCTCCAAACACGGTATTCGATATGGCACACCTGGACAGTCGAACCCCCGATTCTCCTTTCTCTCTGGCTTTCAATGTCCGCTTTAACTGTGCCCCAACTTAGTCGCATTGAAACGGGTGTGACCTTGATCTCTATTTGAATGACTCACTCAGAATCGAGATTGACGATCATATTTTCTACAACATGTGGCTCGTGTGCAATCTTTCGCATTATCCCGCGTATTGAAGGAGGCCACTACTCGCTCTACGTGGAATCATGTGTGTCAAAGCTCGGAAAACCTGCAGGGTTAGCTTAGAGCGGGATTGCCTTACGCAAATGTGTACTACTGTATCTTGTGTAATCCTTTCTTTTGGGCCACCCGCGGAAGCCATGTCCGCTCCTCTTGAGTTAGTGACACGAGAACTAATTAAGTAAAAACGGTAGGTCGATCAGAGATGAACGGTGTAAACCGCGATCTGTCGTGCGGGTTGAGCTGTATGGGCGGGATACAACGTTATCCACGCGTTGTACGGTCCTCCCCAGCCAGCTGACCTCTACAGGTCCCGCAGTCTTGTAGCCCGCATTATGAATTGTTTGTAGAATGCTTATGACTCCTCGTAAGCCCTAGAAGTAGATGTGAGAGCTAGCGGAGGTTATTGAGAGCGTGTGCAATGGGTGCGATGTCAACGTGTGTTGTGAAATGCCGCGGATTTGTTTCTTATCACTATATCATGAGATTGGAATCACGGAGCGAGCCACTGATGGGATTCGTCCCTGTATCAATTTCCTTTCGGAGCACTAGCTTGCGGAATTATAATTTGACGCTGTAAAAAACTATCTGGCTGGGTCTTCATAGCGTATTTCATCTGCGGGGATTCACTTGATATTTAGAGGCCACTCGGTCTGAATAGCATTCATTGCCAGGAAGCTAATTACCTGTATATGTAAAGACACAGTGTGTACATCAAATTTAGAAATGATTTGTGTTTGAACTGACATTAATTTTGACTGGTTTATTGACCGTGTCTGTGGTATTATCATTATTCTCTCAAATTGAACTCGTCATGGTTGTTGGAATATGAGAAGGCAAGGCGGAGGACATGACAAGATACGAGGCAAGAACAAATCCCGAGGGATGTGGAGAATGTTTAGTTTTTTCCCCTGGTCATTCACCCCCACAACAAGCCGTCACCAGTCCAACACTCATCAACACTCATCAACACTCATCAACACTCATCAACACTCATCAACACTCATCAACACTCATCAACACTCATCAACACTCATCAACACTCATCAACACTCATCAACACTCATCAACACTCATCAACACTCATCAACACTCATCAACATCTACCTCCGCACATTAGCACAGCAAGTCTGAACTCTTTCTCTGGGAGTTAATCTCATCATGAGAGCTCATCGTGGAATCTTCTACACAATCGCTACGATAACCAGGGGAGGTTGCTGTGCAGTATTGAATATAGAGATTCCTTCTACAGTGTATGTCAATTTCATGCACAAAGTAAAAGAGAAAAAGAAAATTGATAGCATTCGCATTGATATCCCTTTGACATATCTAAAACCACTCAACTCTATGTTCATACGAAAAAGTTGTGTAAGTTTTGGCTTCTTCGACTACTTAGTTCAGCAGCCGAAGACTGGTCTCTAGCACCACAAAGAGGTGCTTGCACACTTCTAAAGGATCATGGCAAGACTATGGTGGCTACAAAGACCTTGCAGTACCGAGCAAAATTCGATCGCGCAGATTTCGTCCCGCGAAAGCCATAGTAATGGATTCTTTGTTAAGCCTGCAGACAAGGTCGGTTGAGACTGTTGATCTAAATGAAACAAAGGATACTCTGTACTGAATAGGAGACAGCTGAAGTAAACTTCATTATAACATACTGGAAATATGATTTGAATTCCAGGAAGTACAATGTACCTCATTTGATTGCCAGGGAATGGGCAGCACGGAATACTAATGCCACGCTCAATGACTGTTACCAGGCTTTTTTGGTATAATACGCAAAACGTACATGACCAAAGGAAAGGCTAAATGAAAAAGCTTGACAGACAAACAAACGAACTATCGTTGCCCGTAGGCTAAAAATATGGCATAGATTACGGTAACAGCGAGTTATGCCCTCGCCAATACGCCGCTCCATCAATACCTCGTTTACAGAGCACTCACAAAAGCTATTCGGGTGTAGAAGATTATGTCAAGCTAGAGAGGAGTGGGTTTACCACTATTCCTCTCTAGGACTAGTGTATACAGCGCCCGCCCGCATTTTCTATGTATTTCCCCTGAAAAGCTCAGATAGTTCTTCAACCAGACATCAATGAACCATCCTCTCTAATCGGACATCCTCGATACTAGCTCATACACAGATCCCTAAATCCGACAGATTAGTCAAGCACGAGAAGTCATGAATTGACAATGAAAAGACCTTGCTTACCCCTTCTTGCTGCCACTTTACCAGTGAGTCACAGCCCTCTGCAGGGTGTCGGGAGCTTCTGCAGTCTCCGCCTGTGGCTTGGTACTCTCTAGGTCGCCATGCTCCAGAGCAGCGGTGTGCATAGTCTGTACGCGAGTCTCCCAGGCCGGAGTGCCAAAGAATTTGAGACCGTTGGGGTCTTCGAACATGGCCTCAGTCTCTTCCAGGGTCTTTCCGGCGGTTTCCGGAAACATGAAGAAGGCGTGGATGAACATGGACGCATTAAAAACACCGAACAGAATGTAGGTCTTCCAGGTGATACTGGTGAATGCTGGTGGGGTGAAAAGTCCTAGCGCCATGTTGAACGCCCAGTTGCCCGAGGTGGCTACAGACACACCCTTACTACGTAGACGCAAGGGGAAGAGCTCGGGTGGGTAAGTCCACGATACAGGACCCCATGTGGGTGCGTATGAGGCGACGAATAGATAAGTGCATGCGATCAGACCCTTGGCCGCCGAACCGGTCACTTTCATTGACTCCTCGGCAGTCTTACGCTTGCCTTCAGGAATGATTTCAGCGTGAGCTCCGAGAATGCCGGCATTGGCGAACATGAAGACGCACATCAAAAATGCGCCCACCAGCATCGTAGGTCGGCGCCCCCAGCGATCCATCCAAACCAGAGCTGGAACGGTCAGCACTACGTTGATGATGTATTGGATCGACGAGGCGAGCAGGTTCGAGTTACCGGAGTAACCGGCCATCGCAAATACGTAGCCAATGTAGTACACTTAGAGGGAACGAGGTCAGTGCCCTTTGCTTTTATGGGGACTTAATCATGAAGGTCTTACTCATAACGTTCATACCGGTCAGCTGAGACCAGATCTGGGTGAACAATCCGATGAGAGTACGGTTAAGCATCCTTGGCTTGAATAGGTCCATATAGGTAACGCTAATAAACGAGCGTTCCAGCTCACACATTTCTCGAATATCCTGCAATTCGATGGCCACGAAGGGGTGGTTGCGATCGCCCTTAGCATGCACCAGGGCCAACACATCATGGGCCTCCTCCCAACGATCCATTCGAGCCAGCCAACGAGGAGATTCGGGCAGGAACATCATGGCAAAGAACAGGAGTATGGCAGGAATCATCTGCAGTCCCCAGGGTACTCGCCAGGCCGCAGCTTTCCAATTGTAGGACTTCTGGCCTCCGATGAAAGAGCATCCGTACGAGATACTGCACACGATGATTAGCTAATGCATTCTCTGGCGGCCGAATGAATCTCGACAAGCGCCAAAATAACATACTAGTACATAATAAGGATACCCCAAGTAATGGCCCACTGCTGTAAACCCACAAACCGACCACGTTTGGACGGCGGCGAGAGTTCTGAGATATAAACCGGGACCTGAGCGGATTCGATACCAACCGCTATACCATTGATGATACGACCAACGATGAGCATAGCGATATTCTGAGCGGCGCAAATCAAGATGGAACCCACCATCCTGTATGAAATCAGCTAATATCCTCGCTTCTTCTGTATAGAAATCCGCTTACCAGATAACGCAGCCCAGCATGATGGAGTACTTTCGACCGAGACGATCTGAGATAAAACCAGAGATCAGGGCGCCCAGCCAGGAGCCAGCAGCCATGGAGGCTGTTACACCACCCTGTTTCAGAGAAGGAAGACCGCTACAGTCGGGATTGTCGTCGAAGGGCGGGCCATTAGGACCCTCGTTGAAATAGCAAAGGTAGGAGTTCTCCGTAAGCTGCGCCGACATCGACGCAATATCGAAGCCGAACAAACCACCGCCGACGACGGCAACGGAAGCAATCACATAGATATTTCCAATGAGCACCATGATGAAAAATCTGGGGGAACAGACGTCTAACAGATTAATTTTCGGGGGCGAGTCGCGGTTTTATTATACAAGTCTCCACATGCACTGTACCTCTACGAGACCGCAAGACCTTTTTGGTTTCTTTTTTTTTTCTTTTTTCTTTTTTCTTTTTTTCGCTGTTGGGGCCGATCCAACGTAATCCAAATCGGTGCGGGATCCTCAGTTTCGTCTCATTCTGAATGAAACCTGGCTGGAACGGCCAATCCAAATCATGGAATTTCACGCGATAAAAAAACGCTCCCCACATAAGGAATCGAAGGTTGATCCACATCCCCGCAGTTCTTTGTCCCAGATTTACCCAACTCAAACCAAGTACCTATCAGACCACGGCGTTCTTTGCTGTCTCTTTCCGAGCTCACGGTCCCCTGAAAACCATAAGTCCATCCCCTATTGGCCAAACGTGTTTCAAGTGCCTAGTCACGTGCGTAAGTGGCGTTCAAATGTGACCTTGAATGGATCTATCGACACCCTGGGCGCTCAAGCTTCGGTGTTAAAAACGTTGGAGGCGGCAGGGAAAGATGGAAGGATAGAAGGCAAGAAAACTCCGTCACCGATTGGGGAACCCAAGTATCGAAAAGGACACACGACTATGAGCCTGGTGATGGTAATGAGCTGTTGACTGTGCTGCCACCATGATGCGATGCATCTTGAAACACAGTTTCTTCTAATGCATTCCAAAAATGCAATTTATCCGACAAGTTCAGAGCAGTTCAGGTTTTCACTTTGTGATTTATATGGAAAAAATGATCACATTTCGAGGTTGGGATATCAGCAGACCCTACTCAGTCACCCTAACCAGACCCCAGGAGGCCTAATATTCTCTGCGGCCGAAAAAAATGTCGTGAAAGTAGTATTTGATTTTGATTGGCCCAAAGTACGAGCATAGCCACACGATTGCCAACGATGCACCCGGCCAGTCAAATGCGTCGCAAATTGAGAATAAAAAGAATAAAGAATAAGAGGAACACTATCGTTGAGTCATGATCAATGGTATTCATGACCGAAATACGTCAAATGAGGGCCTAACAAATAAAAACAGCGGGAGTGCGATTTTTTGGTACTCACAAAGAGGAGGGATTCAATGAGGTGGCCTCTATTCTAATGAACAAGAGGGGCAGTTGAAGCAATAGATTAGTGTAGTCACCCTCGCGCTTTGATGGGAGAGGCAGTGCATTCTCTCAGACAACTTCCACCGTCATTGCTTCCCCCTGCGGCTCGAATCACGGGCCAGTCCACTACGGTCCCACTCGCCTTGCGGTTGCTCAACAACGGGACTTCACCGCACAAGAACGAAGAACGATCACTCACCAGCAGTGTTGAATCAACAACGTATATAGTCCCTTCAAAGCGCACGTAACTCCCCAATTAGCACATGCCTCAGGATCTACATGGTTTGTGTTTTTGTATCAGGAGGTATGTTTTTGACCGTAAAGCAGAATTGGATTGATTTAAACGGTCGATTGTCGACACTTCTGGCTTGCTCGATCGATCAACAGTTGTGTTTATGCATAGCTGAACGCTCTGGACTTTTTTTGATGGATGATCAACGGGAGACTGTGCAATTGAATGGACTCAGTCTAATTGAAATTGATTGGCTATTAAACAAGCCCTTCTCCACCAAGCGAGCGGGCCCGTGCATTTCCTAATACCTCCGGACCCCACAGGTCTTTGACTCGAAATTATTTCAATCTGCTTGTCATGACCACCTCCGGCCCATTCCGAGTCCGGGCTCACCAGGGATCCACTTGGCTCATATAGAACTTAGCTTGTCTTCATTGTGGCTCCATTCTCAACTACTTCAGATATCGTTGTATGATTATAGTAAGATAAGACAAAACCCCAAAATTCATCACAACATTGTTTATGAACCCATTCCTACGGTAAAGGGAAACCATATAGCAAATTAGACGACCATCCATTGGGCAAGCATGTACATCTAGCCGCCGACGCAAGACTTGATTGGCCTATTTACTGTTACTGTTTGCTGCACTTTGGAGTCCCATTCTGGCATCCTCTCGATTCTCCCACTAGGTTAACAGGCCATAAAGGTACAATGTTTGGTCGACCAAACACCCAAGCTACTATATGCTCGACCTCTACCAGACAGCCTTTGATTTCCTACGTTCGGACGAGGCTAGAACAATGACACCGTTCGCGGTTCTATGCATGCGTGCTTCACGTTTTGGTTTTTACAGACCTGGAACTTACATGACCAACTCGTGTGGTCTCTTAAGTTACGTCTCAACCAGGAAGGCAGTTCGGTAGCAGTCCTTTGTTAGACCCAGGGCCTCGTGAGTCATCTCCAGGATCGACGGGAGTGCATCCAGGGATAGTGTTCCCGCCCCTAGGACCTTTGTTGGTACTTGTGAGGATCTCACGTATCGTTGGATGAGTGTGTCTTCCGAATGAATAATCAATATTAAGAAAGCTAGAGTCGACTCTAGATACCAG